CATGAAAGAGTAGAACAATAAACCCTTATCCGTAGAATAATAAACCCTTTCCATGAAAGAGTAGAACAATAAACCCTTATCCGTAGAATAATAAACCCTTTTCATGAAAGAGTAGAACAATAAACCCTTAGCCGTAGAATAATAAACCCTTTTCATGAAAGGGTAGAACAATAAACCCTTAGCCGTAGAATAAGAAACCCTTTTCATAAAAGAGTAGAACAATAAACCCTTATCCGTAGAATAATAAACCCTTTCCATGAAAGAGTAGAACAATAAACCCTTAGCCGTAGAATAATAAACCCTTTTCATAAAAGAGTAGAACGATAAACCCTTAGCCGTAGTATAATAAACCCTTTTCATGAAAGGGTAGAACAAAATACCCTTTTTCGGTTGTCATAAACCCTTTTTATTTTTAAATACCCTTTTTCTCAGAAACCCTTTCGCACAAAAACCCTTTAAGGGTTTAGCACACAAGCATAAACCCTTTAAGGGTTTAGGAAGATTTTCCTTAAGTACTAGGGTTTATTATTCTACGAATTTTTTTTACAGTGTACCTATATACGCTATAACCTCTTGGATATCTCTATTATTTTTCGAATCAGCTATTTATATGGAATTTATTCAAGCATGCTATGAAGCGTATATTATTTATTGTTTTCTAATTTTACTAACAAAATATCTTGGTGGTCATCGAGGTGTAGAAGAGGCGATCACACGTAAAGAAAATATTCATTTGGCATTTCCATTTGGATATTGTTTTAAACCATTACCAAATGTAAAATGGGTATGGTATTTTAAAGTTGGTCTTTTACAATATTCATGGATTACGCCAATATGTTTAGGTATAGCTATTGTTTTGAATTTAGCAAATGTTTATGGTAATGGTCTATGGAAAGTTAATCGAGGCTATCCATATATTACAATTATAATTAATATTAGTCAAGCATTAGCTTTGTACTCTTTAATAACATTCTACAGTAATTTGAAAGATGAATTAAAACCATTTCAACCACTTGCAAAATTTATTGCGATAAAACTTCTTGTTTTCTTCATCTTTTGGCAATCAGTTGTAATGAGTGTTCTCGCAGCTCTTAACGTTCTTCAAAGTACACTATGTGATCCACAAGTCAATGCCTATTGTCACGGCTCAACAACAGGATTTACAGTTGAGCAAGAGAAAATTTTATTATCAAATGGATTGATCTGTGTTGAAATGTTCTTCTTTTCAATTGCTCATCATTGGATTTTCGGTTGGGAACAGTATGCAACAAATGAAGAACTTCAAAAGCTCATCGAATCTCGATCCCCTCAAATGACTAACAATAACAATGAGATTGATGAATAGATTGTTACAACATTTTTAAAATTCTATCGCTTAAATATAATTTTTTTGTAAAGCGCACCGAAAGCAACATATAGTAGTAGAAAATAGTTTTGATTGAATTGTATATCGTTCGATAGAGCTCGTCAAACTGAGTAAAAATATATTAGTTTCATTTTTTTTAACCTAAAGCTTGGATTAGAAATCTTCATAGAAATGTCACATAGCTGATATCTATTCAAAAAGTTCACGATTCTGCTGTTTTTTGGTTAGGTTTTTCTTGAAAATAGGAAATCTGAATTCTACATTGAAAAGTAAAACAGAAAATCTCCAAATAGTTGTTTTTGTACATGACTTTTCTACATAGCTCGTTCAATTAAGAAATCATCGATATAGACCGTAGAAATATTGGGTTGGTAAGAAATTGTTTGCGTTTTTTTTCAAAATTTCCTACAACAGTCGAGAAAGTTCTAGAAGGTTCCATACTAAGGGTATATAAAGGGGGTATGAGTATCTTTCGAACGATAACAAAATTAAGAATATGGACGTTGATCTCGCATTAGAAATGAAGATATCTCGACGAGAGCTAAGAGTGCTTCTGCTTCATGAATGCCGTTTGGGTCATAAAGCAAGGGTGTGGGTGTGGGTGTGTGAGTGTAGATGTTCTATTCTACAACACCCACCCGCATCCACACCCATCCACCCACACCCACACCCACCCACACCCACATCCACCCACCCACACCCACACACTTCTGGTTCTCTTTTGTCACCCGAAAAAACCTTTCTCATTACCAAAAGATCGAACTGCCAAAAGAAATGGAGGCCATTGCTAACTGAGATTAAAGGACAAAGAGATGATGAAGACAAGTGAGGGAATGAGTACTGTGCTATCGCTTTGTATGATGTTGTCTCACGAAAAAAGTACTAGCTCGCGTAGTCATTGTCTCCGCTTAGTTTTCAAAACAAGGTATTGCGAATGTTAATAAAAATAGGATGCAATGACATCAAACTTGTGTCAGAAATCTGAGCTAAAGGTTGTCTTACTGAGAACGCATTAGAAAACATTAATGACCTTTTTTGTTCTAATAGTCATTATGAAAAACCACATTAACAGATTTGAGAATCGCTAAATACATAAAACGTGGCCTTAAATTCGATGATGAACATTTAGTTTTTTATTTAATACAGGAGCGTTGAAAAAACTTACAGCTAAAGTTTAAGTTAAAGAAAATGTAGCACCTCTCATCGCTCTTCCATAACAACATTCATCGGTTGATTGAAAACCTTCACTCAATTGCTTGAATATTTCTGCTTACATTGGTAGACGTCTCATAATATCTGCTCTTCTAGAGGTCAAAACAAATAAAAGAGAAAAAATTTCAAATATTTTATAGTATTCTTTTTTTTCTATTGGTAAGTAGATCCCTGTTTAATTGCTATCGTTGCGTATAACTCATCTAAAGTGATAGCCTGTTCTTTGTTTTTTTGTACATATATGAAGATCAATTTTGTATAGTTTTCAGTGTTTTTTAGCTATCAACACAATGATTGCATTCAAGCTCATCTGCATACTTGTCTTGGTCTGCAAAATTGATGCTCTCGCTCTCGGACTGAGGTCAGCCAATGTAAAATTGGAATCAGAGCAGAAGCTAAGTTTAGTCAACACCGTCTGTAATATACAAGTGCTGACACAGTTCAATTATCAAGGCAGTGAAATCTACATCTACAGCGCCGTGGCAAATGAAATCAAGAATAGTCGCGCACCTAAGTAGTGGACCTTTTTCTATGTACCCATTATGATACCAGCAGTCACTGATCATCCAAAGGGCAAATGGATATTTACAGTGGGGAACGAAGTTAGAATCAGATTGATGTTAGGTAACAATGAAGTTGAAGAATTGGCAGCAAGAGAAATCATGAAGAAATACGATCCAGATATTACTAAACACTCAAACTCCTGGGTTATTGCTCCACTGATGATCGACTCATTAACGGCTTATATTGTTCGAGAAACAAACTCACCTGTTAAAGATGTCTATCCTTTCAAAGCTGAAAATCCAAATGAGTTGGAAATGGAATTTCGATTCAAATGCTCTTCTAAAGTACATGCAACAGAAATTCAAAAAAAAATCATTGATGATGTCTATGGAATCGAAGTAATATTTTATTTTGCCGGCTCTAGACAAGTGACAATCAATGCGATTTCGATCACCGATGAAATACTGAAGGCTGTGACCAACAAGACGATTGCCGATGGTGGCAATACCAACGCTCAGTATATACACCGGCATCAAGGATCAGCATTTGTCAGCAAATTAGTGACCAATATCAAGTCGATGAGTTATATCGAGGATCGGAGTGCAAATGATCCATCAATGTTAACCACCCTACAAGAGCAATTCAATGCATTGTTACAACAAGGTAGACACTCTTGTGATATGCTCACGTTTGAATGTAGTCATCTTTTTTCTCTCTAATTATAGCACTGATTTCATCGGCTCAGACAAAACTTGCCATCAATCTCTACAATCAAGTTTGGTCTGCTCAGGACTTAAATCCTGATCGAATTACTAGTGAATTCAACAAATTGTTCACTTACAATAAGACTGCAACACAGAATCACAACCAGTCGGACCAGTACTTTGATTTTCATAAAGAAAATTCACAATCATCGAGCGAGTCAGGAGGTGGCGGTTTCGATTATATGGGCTTCAGTCTTGGCGCTCAAGGTGCAACATCTAGTTCAACTTCAAATCGTCTTTCAAATGCGACAAAGTCAGTGTTTTCACTAGCCGAAATCCAAGATTTACTCAAGCAAGAATCAATTGAAATGGCATGGACTGGTGAAAAGTTCATACCGAAGTCATTCTATGTTTATCGACTGACCGATATCACCGATCGTCTAGAAGTTCACATTAATTCGCAACAACTACTTGCTGAAAAGAAAAGTGGTGGTATTGTTCGTGCAGTCAATCTCAGAAGCAAACCGTTAACAGCATCAGAAGGATACTCACCGCCATTGTTAGGTGAAATAAAGTTGTACTCAGGTGATGCATTATTTCGATCACGTCGTTGGGTGTTCTGTCACGGGCAAGCTCTTTCTCGAATCGAATATCATAAGTTGTTTTCTGTCATCGGTGAATCATTTGGAGCCGGAGATGGTAAAACAACATTCAATGTGCCTGATTTTCGTGGTCGATTTCCATTAGGTCTCAATCCAAGTGAATATCAGCTAGCCAATTTTAAGACCGGAAGAAAAGCAACACAAACACTTATTGTTGATCAATTGCCTAGTCATCACCATAGTGCTGACAGATTATACACTACCGATGCGGGGACACATAGCCATACAACCAACGATCCAGGCCACAATCATGCAGGTTACACGAAAGAATCCCAACATCAATTTTATCAGAGATCTACTAGCCCCTTCTATAACCTGTACCGCGATCAACGCGCGGGCAATGGTGGCAGCCGCGACGATCTGTACTTTCATCAGCGCGTTATTCCGATGGAAAAAACTGGAATAACCCTCAACAATGGTGGCACTCATTCTCATTCAATTGAGGGCTCAACCGGTTCAATTGGTAGTGGAAATTCATTCAGCATTATGCCACCTTATCAGACAATCAATTATATTATTTTCACCGGAGACTAGCGAACTGCGGAGTCGCCTTTTTTGATCCCGAAATCCGACCCGATTCCTAAATTTTTTTTTCTTCAATTCCGAAATCCGACCCGATTCCGAAAAGTTTTTCTTCCCAATTCCGACTTCGAAATATTCCGAAAATTTTTCATAACTTAGCGACATCTTATTCATATCAAACCTTCGATATCTTGAACAAATAAATAAGTGGACGAAACAATAAGAAATAAATATGCAATTATTACGGTACTATTTATTTATCTCTTGGGTGTGGGTGTGGATATGTTTATAGAAGTGTATAATCAATTTAGCTAGCAAGACCGGTTTCGATAAGTGCTTAAATTAAACTTATCAATTGCTTTATGATTATAAGATGTTAAATAAAGAATAACTCTCCTACTGCGAATACTAAAGACAAAAGTTTTTTGAGGAAAACTCTTAATCATCTAGTAAACACATGAATATATTATCGGGTAACTTGTATATAAAACTAAGTACCCAACAAAATTTTAAAGAGATTCTCCAACTGATGGTTTATATATAAATATGTATCTCATGATATAGGAGTAGAGTCACTGAAGAGAGCAGAAAAATAACTGTGGGTGGGTGGGTGTGGATGTGGGTGCGTGTGTGAGCGTGCTGCCGATACTCTCTTCACAGCCCACACCCACACCCAAATATTCTTTCCACTTTTTCTTTGGAATATGTTTTCAGTTTTTCCTTACTGCCAAGCTCTAGTTCTTATCTTTGAATTGAATTCAATTAAAATCGACTAATGACTTTTAATGAAATTCTCAGAAGAGAATATTCTATTCTTTCTAAACAATTTAATATAATGATAGAAAATATTTCATCTGATCTTCATATTCGTTTGAGTCTCATTGATGATTTATTTAGTTTAATACGTTGCAATTCCATTTCTGATTGTTATGAAGAAATAATTTTTTATGACTTTATTTATTTAAGAGTAAAAAGAAATCATAGAAAAGATTTTCTTCGAATCTTTCATTTTCATTGAAGTGAATACCAGTTTCGTTTTACTATTCGAAGATTGATCGAAATGATTAAATGCTCTTCTAATTTTTTTATTATTAGATTCACATATCGAATTTTCAAGAAGAAGAAATAGTATTCTTAAAGAGTAATATCAAATAATTTGTTTTGTCAATGATGTCATTCAATGAGAAAGGAAACTGTGACGGAGTTCATCCATCACCACTTCTCATATATTCTTGACTGAACGCGTTTATATATGTGTTTCGATCACTTTCTGTCTAGCTTTTCTTTGTTTTGCTTTTCTTGTCTTGTTTCTTTCTCGAACGTTTGGTCTTGTTGATAGATTATATTGTTCATTGGTGCATCTTTTTCGGTAAAATAAAGCAGGAACGATTGGTCGTTCCGTCACATGTAGTTCGTATTTGTAACGAAATATATAACCTTCATCTATCTGTTTCCCTTTATTTGACCTTGTGACTCTTCTCTTCTCGTGTGACGGTATGGTCGAGTGCTGTTAATGTTTTGTATGTGTACAAAAGCCAATTAAAGCGAGTATCACTGCTTGACCGGCACTTCTCCTTTCACGTATTCACGGTATCGGTCAAATAGAAGAGATGAGTGTATGCATATAAAGTTCATAAGAATAGATCATCGAAATCAAAGATGAAATCTTCATGCATTGAATTCAATGATTTACCTGATGAAATCCTTATGATTATTTGCAGAAAATTGAACAATCTTGATGTCTTTTATTCTTTACAAGGTGTCAATCAGCGAATAAATAGATTTATTCAAGATCGAATTTTTACAACTCGTTTGACTTTTGTCAAATGGTTATCAGATAATTTTCTCGATCTAATTTGTTGTGATATGATATATAATCGATTTTGTTTACAAATTTTACCCGAAATTCATCATAACGTTAAATGGCTCGATCTTGAATCATCATCGATGAAATATGTTTTACATGCTGCTCGTTATCCTAATTTACATAGTCTCGGTCTCTATAATATTCATGAAGAGTCACTTCAATGTCTTTTTACTGGTAAGAAGTTTCAATTCAATTATATTTCAATTTAATTTTCATAGGTTTGCTTAGATAAAGCTCTTTCATCTGGTATGTTCAAAAACCAAATTACAACACTGTTAATTACAATTGATAATAATAAGGTGACGTTAAAGACCGTTGTAAAAATATTTGATTCTATTTTGACTGTTTTCACCAGTCTAAATGATTTCATATTATATGAATCATCGTATAAAAATCGTCTACGATTATTTTTTTATGATCCACCTCCTCGTACATTTTATTCTTCAACTCTTCGGAAATTAAGTGTTAGATTACAATGTATTGGTGATTGTCTTTATCTTCTCGATGGTCGATTTAATCAACTTCACACACTCTATGTTGATTTGGTTAATCTCCATGGCTCACATAGAATTCAAAATGAAGTTAGTTTTATAAGAAAAATCTTTATATTATCAATTAACAAACTAAAATTTATTTTTTAGAAAGATTTACCAAATCTAAAATGTTTTTCCTTGTCATGTAATATCGAAAGTTATAATTATAATGAAACAATTCTTCCTCTTCTCGATCGAATGTTCAATCTCGAAGAATTGAGTTTGTATCTAGCGGTGATTGTTGATGGAACATTTATTGATGGAAATCATTTGAAGAGAAATATTATTGATTCTATGCCACGGTTAAATCAATTTTCATTTTATATACGTTCAGTCATGTATATTCGGAATCAAGTGAATTTACCATCAACAGAAGATATTAAACGCACATTCATTGACTTTTCAGATTATGAAATCATTTCTTATGTTGATTATTTTCGCAAAGCACAACAAAGTCGATGTCATATTTATTCATATCCATCTTTTATGCCATATTATGGTAGTATTTCAAATAATTTTCCAGGTGGATTATTCAAATATGTTCGTGCAGTATCATTATATGATGAAAATCCTTTTGAACATGAATTTTTTCTTCGAATTGTTCAATCATTTCCATTGATGGAAAAACTAACTTTGACTAATAATAAACCCCAAAATTGGAAACAATCTTATTCATCCAACAATAATAATGAAAATGTATCTGCTATTGAGTATTCTTGTCTTAATGAACTTGTTATTATTGATGTTCATGATGATTATATTGAAGAATTTCTGCTTGATACTAAAACGTATTTGCTGAAGAATGTTTTTCTTTCTATCAATTATGAATCATTGAAACGTGTAACACGTAATTTTACAAGAGATGCTACACGAATTAATTGTGCGAAAATAAATGAATTAGAATTATTTCCTGAAACACAATATTTGAATTCTTTACAAGAATATTTTCCTTATGCAAAAATATGTTACTTAGAAACATTTACAAGAACAACACAATAAAGTATCAAATTCAATAAAAAAAAAAAAAACAGAAAATTGTCTTGTCTATTGTTGTAAGAAAAAAAAATCTCTTCAGAGATGAAAATGATTATGTATGATAAGTAGCAATATATGAAATAAATCAATTTTGCTTGAATAAATATGTTTATACTGCATTGAGTTGGGTGGCGGAGGTGGGTGTAGGGTGTGGATGTTGAGAAACTTATAAGGGTGCGTGAGTGTGCATATGTTTGTGAATATTGGTACCTAATTATCCATACCCACACTCAAACTACTCTTTGGAAAGTTTTCGACACGAGTACTTGATAAACTACTACGTCGGATGATAGATACAGTAAAATCTCTATAAGATGAACACCATTGGGACTTCTCAAAAAGTGTTCATTATGAGAGGTGTTCATCTTATGGAGGTTTTGCATAGATTGAACTGTTGCATGTATACGATAGTCAGTAGGACTATTTTGATGACTACACAATTCATGTGAAATTCACTACAGATGAATCAAAGAACGAAAGCAAATCTTTCATCTAGTGCATGACTTTTTCTGCAATCTTTGTTGAAAATAATCTTCCATCGTCGTCTATTTGTGACCTTTCGTGTCGATGTAGAGTTGAGTGCATTGAAAGTCCAGCTGCGCAATTTCTTCTGAAAGGGTCAATGTACGCTTCGTCATCATCTCTTTATTGCAAATAAACAAATGTGGTATTGCTTTATAGGTGAACGGTCATTTTATCTCAGAACAGTGTGTCGCGGACTATTGATTTTTTTTTGTTCTTTTTTTCTGCGATGAATAGACCGCTGACGAATTGACTTAGCATCTCTTTAGAATGCACATTGTGTTTCGCTTTCCCTCTTTTCTCACGCATATATGTATACATTGTTGAACACGTGCTCATTATATAGAGGTTTTCTTTGCTGAAAGGACCAAAAAAGCGTTCATTGCTCAGAGTTGGGATGTGTTCATTAAGGGAGGTTTTACTGTAATATGGAAGGGATAGGGAAATAGTGCGTAAATCGAGCAACCCAGTCCAAGAACGAGTTTTCAAAAGTGATGCAGTTCATCCAAGAAGTTATCGAAGTGACGACTGCCAGACAGTCAATTAACGACGATTTACTAGTCCAGAATGAAGTACGAAAAAAAAGTATTGGATACTGTTCAAGAGAACATGAGGAAAGATAAAGAGCTTCTCAATAAATCTTACACAGAAGCCAATACAGCGGAAAAAATGGCCGAAGAATCGTACTACAAAGCTATGAAGGAGATACCAACAGGTTGGAAAGCGGTTGGTCAAGATTTATTACGTACCTCAATTCATCTGGTTCCAATGGTGATTGGAGCTGCGGTCGGTGGACTCGTCGGAGTGACGACAGTAAGTGCTGGTACTGTTGGCATGATTGGCACCCTCGGAGGTGAAAGCAGAAAAAATCCTAATAAAAACTCTTCAAGCAATGCACCGAGCAACTCAACGTCATTGATTAGTCTATGCTTTACAATTATTATGATGGATAATTTTGCCAATTCGCTCCAGTCGTTTACAAAAGTTGCTTCTGCAGAAATCCCGAAAAACACCAGACTTGCTGACTTCGTTACAGTTTTCAACCATTTCCGAGAATTAATGATGGTCCATCCAGATAATCCTTTGAAGAATATATCAGGGTGTGGATGTGGGTGGGTGTGAGTCCTTTGTTCCATTCGCATCCGCACACCCACACTCACACCATCAATCTGCTCGTAGTAATGCACGACCTGCGATTGTAAAGAAACAAAAAAGAAGAAAAACATTCTGCATTTGCCCTTTGTCTTTATGAATAAGAGGCAGAACAGAAACGCAAAAATAATCTGACATGCATACTGCTCTGGATCGAAAAAAGTTGTCACATAACTATGGAAACTTTACTTACGTCGTACAAAAAGTTAAAAGGATTAAGAAAAAATAAAGAAAGAAGAAGAAAAGAAAAAATAAAAGATGAACAAAAAAGAAAAAGAAAAAATGTTTTTTTTATCGAAGTTTATGATTATTTTTTTACCTATTTCCTATCTTTCCTATTCAATTTAGTGCATCATAATAAAAAATGCTTCAGAAGCAGTAAAATGAGAAATGCAAAGAAGCTATTAAGATTTTTATGAGAGTAACGAGGTAGTTAACATAACAGTTTTGTAAAATCGTTACTTGTTTACTTTTGACTTCATCTGAAAGTTTAGCACTCCGAAAGAAGGTAATTTTTCCTTTGCTTATAATGAATTAATATTCACTTTTAATAAATATGCACGATGGCGTAAAGTACTCTAGAATTAGGGATCTGCAAAATGGTTCTGGATCCGATCTCGACGCACAATTAACCAATAGCGGAGATCTGACAACAACATTTTTTTCAATATTTTTGTTATAAAGTTTTTGAGCAATGCTTTTTCATTAAAAAGAAAATATTCATTTTTTAGCTCACTTAAGGTAGATTCCATTCGAAAAAGTTCTTTTTCATAAAAAAGAAGGTTTTTGAGATAAGCATACAACTCAGTGAAAAAAAATCCTTCGAAAATCCCGATTATTTTAGATTATCAACGAAAAAAACTGATTTTTCGAAAGAAAATCGCACTTTTCAAAAATAATCGGATGATAATCGATTGAAATCGGACAATCCTTTACAAAATTAATCCAATCAATCGATTATAATCGATTATTGCATCTAAAACTTGATTAAAACCGCCAATCGATTTTCAATCTCTTCAATCGATGGAAATCTTCAATCTAATCATTCAAATTGCAAGATTATTATGAGGTTAACATTGATTATACGAGTTGAAATCAGATTTTAATCTTCAATCGATTTTCAATCTCTTCAATCGATTGAAATCCTCAATCGAATCATTCGAATTGGAAGATAATTATGAGGTTAACATTGATTATACGAATTGAAATCAGATTGTAATCCTTAATTGAATCCAATGGATTCAATGATTATCAATTTATTATTATCTATTATAAGAATGGAAAGAGGATTTTAACTGTGAATCGTTTCATCACTCGTGTCAGTTCAGAAAAAACGGTGTGATTATTAAGTTATTCCTGTCTCTCAAGCTATGCAATACGAGTTTTAACTGTTACACCATTTTGTTAATTTTTGTCATCAAATGTTAAGCTGCCAGTGGTGTGGATGGGTTCCAATGGTATTAAGCTTCTACTAGCATTTCGTGGTAATGTGATCGAAAAGGGACGATATGTCGTATTTCAACCTGAGAACTCAGAAAATTGTTATTGATTTTGTATATCTCTTATGAGTATCGGTTGCAATGGTTGTTCGATGGCAAATTAGTTGTTTGATCGATTCCATCTGGCTTGGTCATGGCATTTATTATTCTGAAATCATCTAAAATGATTGTGACTTTCATCTTCAAATGATCTTATGAATAGGTTAATGTTAGTTCAAAGTACAGTATATGAGGTTTATGAAGAATGAAGCAAATTAGGAAAACGGCATACACAAGTACCTTGAGGAGAACTTTCATAAAAAACTGTCTTCTCGATGATATCGCTGACATCGATTAAAAGAAACGATGATGCCAATTTTGATGCTATTTGTATGCCGTGAAATTCATATTTGGCAGAACCATCAATTGGACAAACCAATGGTGTAACATTTTGTAAGCGAGCAATATAAAGAATTGGCTGTGCATCATTAACTAAAACGATCGAACGAATGCGACCAAAGATTTGAGCTCCATTCGACCTAAACAGAATATTAGAGTCATCACTTCTTTTGCCATGTGAATAAGAGCGAGTAGTAAATCGAATATGACCAATATACAATGTGTTGTAGAACTGTAGATTGGCATCAGAAAATAGTCGTCGTACTGCAGCATCTTCTTTGCTACATTTGTGTTGAACTTTCAGGTCTTTTTTATTGGGAAAATGATGATGATCAATAAGGTGTGATGAGAAAAACAGTGCGATATCGTTATTCATTGTTCGGTTCATGAAATGCCTAACTGCATGTTGTATTATATATAAGTTGCCTAACATTTCTTGGGCAAGATTGCGCGAACCTTTAGTTGCGCTGACAAGTAAGCCTATGAGGAAAAAATTATGCATAGAGTCTTATATGAAAAGATCACAACATATGCTTGCCCAGGTCATTCTCGAACTGGAATGTGGTATAATTGGTCATCGGACTAAAGTCATTGACAGTGTCACCAATATGTAGGACAGAGTGCACCACCTGAACGCAGTGCCTGTCAGTGTAGAGTTGTGGAAAAGATACAATAAAACTACGTGAAAGACGTTGAATGATTTCTAGATCGACTTTGTCAATTTTTCGCGCTTCCGCCAAATGCATCAAGACTACCAACTGCAGCAAATGCTCATAATACCGTTTCGACAATGCTCGGTTAAAAATAATGTGGCCGAACAAAAGAAGAACTCTTAGTTCATTGGTTTTAAACTTGGGATAATCCATTAAGGAACGTGGAAGTCTTGCAGTAGTAGAAGGCAGTCGAAGAGAACAAAAAGATTCAGTAAGCTTGTCGATCTGTTTAAAAATACTCCATTTTTTCTTTCGATATTTTGGACTAGGCCAAAGATTTAACATTCGCTTCTACAATGTAAATCAAAAAATTTATTAGCCTACTAGATAACAGCAGCTTTCGATATTTGGTTAGTTCTCTGAAGAATTCATCAAATCTGAAGTGCACAGAATTTTTTTTCTACAAACTATACAGAATTTAAAAAAACTCCTATTGACTAATGAAACTCATTCCGATATCAGTTTCAGGAAAAAAAATGAATAAAATATTTGCTTACAAATGCACCAATATATATATTGTGAAGACTATCTGACATGAAAGAACGACTGACATCGAAATAGGTCAATTCTCTAAATAAACAAACTCCAGCAATGTCCTTTTCACGTTGTTGATCAATGAACTCGTCTTGCAACTTTTTCTTGTTTGGCCAAAGATCTTTCGATTGTTTATGAAGTTGAACTAACACAATCAATTCATCATAACGTTTGTTAGAACATTTGACAATATCATCGTAATCCATAGAAAAGCTTCGAACATTTCCACCTTTAGCAGTTGAAACGGTAAATCCTATCAAAATATGAATATATAATCTTATGTATCGCATTCTCGTAACAATAGGAATTATATATATAGATATATGTATATATATCTATATATATAAAGAAGTATGTTTGTCTGTCTGTCTGTCTGTTCGCTAAGCGTTTTCACACCGTACAAGCAAATGCAACCAAACTTTCCAGGAATGTTCGTCTCAACCCGGGAAAGGTCGACATCAACTTTTTTTTTCAAAAATACTTAATCCTTCGACCAGAAAAGCCCGCCTAATTTGCTAACCAATCAGATTGCAGCATTCGGTACTGTAGAACTACTACTGAGCTCCACTTCATGAACATACAGAAAATATGGAACCAGAGGTTTTCGAGGGCGGAGAGTTCGAATCTGAGGTCCGATTCCCTCGAAATCTGATTGGTTGTTCGGAAACCAATAGGGATTCAGCTCTTAAGAAAATAGATCCAAATGCTTACACTTTAATGGAAATGATGGAGCAGGGGTTTTCCGAAGTGGTGAGTTCGAATCTGAGGTCCATTTGCCTCGAAATCTGATTGGTTGTTCGGAAACCAATAGGAATTCAGCTCTTAAAAAAACAGAGCCAGACACTTACACTTTGAAGGAAAGGATTAGACACAGGTTTTTTGAAGCGGTGAATTTGTATCTCAGGTCTATTTGCCTCCAAATCTGATTGGTTGTTTAGAAACCAATAGGAATTCAGCTCTTAAGAAAATAGATCCAAATGCTTATGGTTTAACGTAGGTGATGGAGCAGGGGTTTTTCGAAGTGGTGAGTTCGAATCTGAGGTCCGATCGCCTCGAAATCTGATTGGTGTGGGTGTGGGTGTGCGTGTGGGGTGTAGGTGTGGGGTGTGGGTGTGGGTGTTGGAGGGTGTGTGTGGGGGTGTGGAAGGGTGTAGGTGTGTGGGTGTGTGGGTGTGGGTGGATGTGTGGGTGTGGGTGTCGGT